TGTGTATGTAGAAATTTTTGAAACGGTGTATCTTTGGCTATGTGTATTTTCACCAAAAAAAAAAGGTTGAGAAGTTAGAAGTTTAGAGGGTTGATATGTTGTGGGGTTGTTAACCAGTGTCATAAAACAACACGTGTACTTCTGTTTCATGAGAAACTATTTGTTCTGTAAGCCTTCACCTGAAGTACAAAAGAAAGGAACAATGCTAGGACCCCTAATATATGGCATAAACAGATATACCTATACATGCACGGGTATTTACTCACGTATGCCTTTCTATACACATATATGAATCCAAATCTATCTGTTGTTGCAAAATTATATACATTATAGTATTTACAGATATTACCCTTTTTCGTGTGTGTGTGTACTTATTAGTATCTTTATTTACCTTGGTCTTGCCTTTCCTATCACCAAAAGTAGCAAGGGTCTACTATCTCTTGTCTCATCCCTGGTAACCATCAAAAAAACTTTGCTTTCTGTGTGTATGTCTGTTCTTCACTTTTTATAATAGTGGGACCATACGATATTTGTCTTTTTGTGACTGACTTATTTCACTCAGAATAATGTCCTCCAGATTCATCTATGTTATGTTTCGCAGACTCCTCGTTATTCTTCATGGTTGTGTAGTATTCCATTGTATGTGTGCATTACAGTTTGTTTATCCATTCATCTGTTGATGGGAAAGCTTAGAATATTCTTGACTTCTCTTTCAATGCCCAGACCTCAATCCAGCAATTCGGTCCCTCAGGGAGTTTGGATGTGTCTATGGAGCTTCCTTGCCTTGACCAAGTGCTGGCTTCCCCAGTATTGTGTACTGCCTTACCCTTCACCAAAGTTACCACTTGTCTATTTAGTGTTTTTCTACCCCCACCCCTCCCCTCCCTCGTAACCATTAAAGACTGTTTTTGTGTGTAAACCTTCTCATGAGTTTTTACAGTAGTGGTCTCATACAATATTTGTCCTTCTGTGATTGACTTATTTCACTCAGCATAATGCCCTCCAGATTCATCCATGTTGTGAGATGCTTCATAGAGTCATCATTGTTCTGTATCGTTGCATAGTATTCCATTGCATGTATGTACCATAGTTTATCCATTCATCTGTTGATGGGCACTTACGTTGTTTCCATCTTTGGGCTATTGTGAATAATGCTGCAGTGAACATTGGTGTGCATATATCTATTCATGTCACTGCTCTTATATCTCTTGGATATATACACGGGAGTGATGGGAGTGGGATTGCTGGATCATAAGGTATTTTGAGGAGGCATCATCCTGTTTTCCATAGTGGTTGTACCATTTTACATTCCTACCAGTAGTGCATAAGCATTCCAGTCTCCTGACAACCTCTCCAACATTTGTTATTTTGGGTTTTTTTGGATTAGTGCCAGTATTGTCAGGGTGCGATGGTAACTCATTGTAGTTTTGATTTGCATCTCTCTAATGGCTAATGATCACGAGCATCTTTTCATGTATTTGTGGGCCACCTGAATGTGTAGTGTATATTATTAATGCAAATAAGCTACAAAACTTATACCGGGGGAAAAATAACCTAAGGATATTCATGCCTTAGAGTAGTCTTCTTCAGTCCCCAAATTTGCAGAATGCTTGTTGATGTTGAAATGCAACAATATTGAGAAGGTCTTTTTACACCTGTCTCTTCCCTTCTTCACCAAAGACCTAGACTGAAATGCTTCATAGGATAGCTAAGAAGCATTCCTGCAAAACTTCAGAGTTAGGTACATCATTTGTTCCTTCCTTGAAAAATATTTGCAGTATATATGATAAAGATTTAATATCCATAACATTTAAAAAAAAAACTCTTGGAACTTCTTTTTCCAACAACTTAATGGTTTAATAATTTTTAAAGAGTCCTGTTACAAAACACCTAGAAATGCTTCATGTATTAGTTGAGATGTGACCCTGCAAATTTCCCTCGTTGGACATGTCAATTCTTTCTTCCCTTCTCTACCATTTCCTTTCCTTGGTCAGGCTATTCTGTCCATGTCCTTTGTAGACCGCTCTCCCCTCTCCTGAATATTTAAAAGTACTCACTGTATCTACCTCAGCAGCTTGAATTTTGCATCTGACATAATTTCCACCCAGTATCTCTAAGATCATAAGACAGTGTCTATTATCTTATTATGTACTCAATGAAAATACCAACATTACTGATTGTACAGCTAGCCTGGGTAATGATATATAACTTTTTTCACTTTACTATGAAGTCAATGCTCCAAGCTTAATTCTCATTTTATACTGGAGAAGGGAAATGAATAAAAATTATCAGTCCCAGGTAATAGAACATGAACACCTAGTGTAACTTTAAGTGAACTCCGAAACAAAATAGAAAATAAGACCAAAAAATGAACTCATCCTGATTTAACGTTTGGTATAGAATTTTTGCATGCCAGCCAAATGATTATGAGATGAAATAGATGTTTCAGATTGTCTCCTTGAACTGACAAGAATGTCATCTTAACTTTTGTTTCCTAAAAAAATAGGTATGCAGTGTCAATGGCTAGAAGAATTGGAGCCAGAGTGTACGCTCTCCCTGAAGATCTTGTGGAAGTAAAGCCCAAGATGGTCATGACCGTGTTTGCATGCTTGATGGGCAGGGGAATGAAGAGAGTGTAAAATAACCGATCTGAATAAAAACAACCTTGCTCCCAGGTGCATGATTAGCAGGTCAGCTATTTCCAAGTTGAAGTGCCCATGGCTTAAGAATGTTCGTCATTTAAAGGACTTTGTAGTTTTGATTAACAAGACAAGATCATCAAATCCCTCAGGGGAAAGAGTTTCAATAAAAACAAGTGTTCTTTCCCATAGTCAGCATTGGATTTGTCAGGCACACCTGAAATGTGCTCATAGCCAAACCATTTTACTCTCTCCTCCTAGATTGCTGCCACTGACATTTCCTGTTGCTGTATGTTATTTCTCTCTATGTATCTTTTTCCCTCTTAGAGTGTCCACCTCTTGAGACTTGCTTAGATGATTGGATATGAATATTTTAGATAGGAATTTTCCTTTCCATCCAGTGTGCTAGTTCTTATTGGAGAACTCTGGTCAGAGGGTATTTGGATATGAGTATCCTTTGCTTATCTTTATAGTACTGGAAATTTGCAGAAGTAACTGGCTGCGCAGGATGTAATAGAAGCTTTTCATATTCTTTTATTCTTAAAAAACAATATCTTTTTACAGTATTCTTTCTACATGATCCTTTTTTATACATTTAAGAATATTTTGATTACATTAAACAAGACTGCTGATTTTGCTACTTTTTTTAAGGGGTCTTCAAGTAAGTAAAATAAAAAACACATTTTAGGTAGAGGAAAAATGTACCTTAAATTTGCATCTTCCCACCACCTAAGCTGTAAACAATTGGTATATTTTGTCTTAAAATACTTGGTTCAATACATGCTTCTTTTTGTTAAACCTGTATTATCAAGCTCTCTCTTTAAATTTAAAATGCTGTTGAATATGGTACTTTTCAGGAAAGAGAGTACTCAGAAGTTAGCCAGGATGCAGTAGGCCAAGTATGCTAAGTGTACAAAATTTTTGTAATTTTACACCTAAAACAAGGAGATGTGGTCACTAAAAAATAAAAGTATATATGTAGAACTTAATGTACTCTTCCTCTGTCAAGCTTTTTGCTATAGTTTTCAAGATCATAATGTTACTCTAACTCTGAAAAGTGATGTAATCGGGTAGCAATGTATTAGTTCAAATAAAGGCATTTAGATAATAATTAATCTCTTCTTCATGCTTCTATTCCTTGGTAGTATGCCAATAATGTTTGTTACTTATTTTCTTCAGTATTTTAATTCATTTTTCTGGTGTCTTCTACAAAATGATGTTTGTTATATTTGAGCTTTTGGAGCTGAAATGAGGGGCTGAATTAAGGATAATACAAACGGGATGTGATGGCTTTCTTTACCTCACTGAACTTTCCTTATCCAGTTCCTTCCTTTTTCTTTTTCCCAGCTCTCTCAGTCTTTTCACTGTTCTAGGATATACAGAAGACTGAAACTATGGGAATCTGAACAATCAGGGAGGAGAGATGGTTTGTGGCAGGTTTTCTCAACCTTGGCACTACTGACATTTCAGGTTGGACAATTCTTTTTTTGAGAGGCTATCCTGTGCATTGTGGAATGCTTAGCAATATCCCTAGCATCTACGCACTAGATGCCATTAGCACACTCCTCGGTTGTGACAACCAAAATTGTCTCCAGACATGGCCAGATGTCCCCTGGGGGACAAAATGACCCTTAGTTGAGAACCAGTGGTGTATGGTACCATTTTCAGCTTTTGTGTGAATGGGCAATATGAAGTGCAGTCCTTGAGGGTCTGCTTACAGGGTGATATTATAAAATATCTTGTATTTATAGTCTGAGGGTAGGAAAAACCTTTCCAGGTATGATACAAAACCCCAAAGACCTAAACTAAAAGAATGATAATGTGACAACTTAGCTTTTGCAATAAACTAAGTCAAAATATAGATGACCAAGAAAAAAAAGTCAGCAGCATATTATAGATTAATTTTCTTAATTTCAAAGTAGCTTTTACAAATATAAAGAAAGGGCAAGTCTTCTGCAAACATGTACCAGAGCAACTAATGAGCTGTCTTAGGCATCTAATGGTGCTGTAACAGAAATACAACAAGTGGATGGCTTTAACAAAGAGAAATTTATTTCTTCACAGTAAAGTAGGCTAAAAGTCCAAATTCAGGGCATCAGCTCCAGGGGAAGGCTTTCTCTCTCTGTTGGCCTTCTCATCAATCTCCCCCCGGACAAGGAGCTTCTCCACGCAGGGACCCCAGGTCCAAAAGACATGGTTTGCTCCCAGCACTGCTTTCTTGGTGGTATGAGGCCCCCAGTTCTCTGCTTGCTTCCCTTTCCTTTTTATCTCTTGTAAGATAAAAGATGGTGCAGGCCACACACTAGGGAAACTACCTGTTTTACATTGGATCAGGGATGTGACCTTAGTAGCGGTGTTATATAATCCCACCCTAATCCTCTTTAACATAAAATTACAATCACAAAATGGAGGACAACCATACAATTCTGGGAATCATGGCCCAGCCAAATTGATACATACATTTTTGGGGGGACATAATTCAATCCATGACATGAGCTAAGTACAACCATATCTTCTGACCTGTCTTCTGTCGTGAATTTTCTGTGCTCATCCATGCTAGCCGCCTTCAAAGTACAAAGATTCTTCTCTGTAGCCCTAATGCCTTGAAATTCCTCTGAAGCAAGATCGAAAAGGTTTATTTCATCTTACCTTCAAAAAAGGAGCTGATCTCTTGTGTGGTTCACTGTACAAGGCCCATGGACTGCAGTAATGTATCATAGGATAGTTAAGAATTGTTCAGGTAAAGCAATGGGACTGGACACATCATTTCTTCCTTCTTCCTCCAAAATTGCAAGATATACGGTGGTGCTGGTGGTGGTGCGTGACTTTCAGTCGATTCTGACTCATAGCAACCACATGTGACAGAGTAGAACCGCCCCGTAGGGTTTTCTAGGCTATAATCTTTCAGGAAGCAGATCACCAGGTCTTTCTCCCGAGGAGCCAGTGTGTGGGTTCGAACCACCATCCAATTGCTTAACAACTGGGCTCTTAACTGTTGCACCACCAGGGCTGCTTACATATATGATAATGGGCTAAAACTGCTACTATATTAACAGTTCTTACAAATCTATAAGATACAAAGGTCCAGTAGAAAAATGTACAAAGAAGATCAATATCCAATTCAAAACACTATAATTCACCTATGACCATAAAAAGGGATACTGATTCTCAAAAGTAATCAGGGTTATGCAATTTTAAACAGCCAGGGACTGACTTTCTTTTAATGAACTGCTTTTTTTTTTTTAACCTATCAGATAGTGATAAAAATTAAATGATTGATAATAATCCGATATTGGTGAAGATATAGGTATACAGGCATGCTCTTAACACCACAGACATAAGGGCGATCAGTTTATAGAACCTACTTCTTGAAGGCTATTTGATAATAGTTATCAAACTAAAAACTGGCATGTCCTTCAATTCTGTAGCCACAGCAAGTATAGGAATGTTCCATGATTCATCTTATATTGTAATAAAGGATTCGTGAAAGCAGTCACAGCCCATCCACACAGTGGGATACTTATGTAGTCATTACAAATACTATCATCCAGGGAGCATAATAGAGGGTCCCGGACAGAGCTAGAGAAAAAATGTAGAACAAAATTCTAACTCACACAAAAAGACCAGACTTACTGGTCTGACAGAGACTGTAGAAACCCGAAGAGTATGGCCCCCAGACACCCTTTCAGCTCAGTAATGAAGTCACTCCCGAGGTTCACCGTTCAGCCAAAGATTAGACAGCCCCATAAAACAAAATGAGACTAATGGGGCACAACAGTTCGGGGACAAGGACTAGAAGGCAGGAGGGGACAGGAAAGCTGCTAATAGGGAACCAAGGTTGAGAAGGGAGAGTGTTGCAATGTTGTGAGGTTGTTAACCATTGTCATAAAACAATATGTGTACTAACTGTTTAATGAGAAGCTATTCTGTAAACCTTCATCTAAAGTACAGTGTAAAAAAGACCAGACTTGCTGGTCTGACAAGAGATTGGAGAAACCCCAAGAGTACGGCCTCCAGACACCCTTTTAGCTCCGTAATGAAGTTACTCCTGAGGTTCACCCTTCAGCCAAAGATTAGACAGACCCATAAAACAAAACGAGACTAAATGGGCACACCAGCCCAGGGACAAGGACTAGAAGGCAGGAGGGGACAGATAGGAAAGCTGGTAATAGGGAACCCAGGGTCAAGAAGGGAGAGTGTTGACATCTCGTGGGGTTGTTAACCAATGTCAGACAATATGTGTAGTAACTGTTTAATGAGAAACTAGTTCTGTAAACCTTCATCTAAAGTATGTTGTAGGGGAAAAACATCACAAAGTTTAGTAAAGCAAAAAGAAAGTTTTATTCGGCATATATTCAAAAAGATAAAAGTGGGAAACGGATAACCATGCTGCCAGAGCCATGTCTGCCCAAATCCAAGGAAATATCACACAACAGACAAAAGTGGGAAAACGGACAAGCATGTTGCTACAGCCATGTCTGTCCAAGTCCAAAGAATATTACAGAACAGGCAAGAATGGGAAAACAGACAAGCATGCTGCCACAGCCATGTCTGCCTGAGTCCAAGGAACGGAATGTTGCAGAGCCATCAGTATATATTAACATTATAAATGGCAAACCATTGAAAGCTCTACCTTTTCACAGATTGGCTAGAAACTGTGATCCTACATTTTGAATTGTCTTTATTAACAATCACTGGTACAGGTTTCAGTAAGGACAGTCAGGAGGGTCTTTATCGGTCCAACAAATTTCTGTTCACTAAATGCTAATAGAAAAAGGTAAGAGTGGAAAGTCTTTTGTGTTCTGTTTGATTGGTTTATGTGAAAGGTTCCCTAAAAGATATTTTCCAAGATTATCTTAGCTATTGTCTTTATACCTCAGGGCCCAGTTGATGTGTCCTTGTGAGCCCAGCTCCAGCTGGGTCACATTCTCTATGCTCAAGGACAGGGAATAATAACTCCAATATTATTTCCTAAATCAAATACAATAAAAAATAAAGTACAAAAAAAAAATACTGTCATAGATCTATACATATAAACATGGAAATATATCCTAAAGTTATTCTTTTAAAAAAATGGTAGTATATACAAAAAGAAAAAAATCTTGAGGAAACTACACAAATATACTTGTGTACTTAGGCTTTGGGGGTGGGTATGTTGGGAAAGTTTAAAAGGAAAGTTAAGATTAAAAATATTAAAATATATTATTATGATAATCAGGTTGTCATGGATTGAATTGTGTCCCCCAAAAATATGTGTATCAATTTGGCTAGGCCATGATTCCCAGTATTGTGTGATTGTCCACCATTTTGTGATCTGATATGATTTTCCTATGTGTTGTAAATCGTACCTCTATGATGTTAATGGGGCAGGGTTAGAGGCAGTTGTGTTAATGAGGCAAGACTCAATCTACAAGATTAGGTTGTATTTTAAGTCAATCTCTTTTGAGATATAAAAGAGGGAAGCAAGCAGACATGGGGATCTCATACCACCAAGAAAGAAGAGCCAGGAGAATAGCATGTCCTTTGGACCCGAGGTCCCTGTGCTGAAAAGCTCCTAAACCAAGGGAAGATTGACGACAAGGACCTTCCCCCAGAGCCCACAGAGAGAGAAAGCCTTTCCCTGGAGCTGGGCACCCTGAATTCAGACTTCTAGCCTCCTAGTCTGTGAGAGAATAAATTTTTCTTTGTTAAAACCATCCACTTGTGGTATTTCTGTTACAGCAGCACTAGAATTAAGACACAGGCAAATAACAGATAACAGAAATGTTTTATACAAAAGAGTTGAAAGATTATTACAGTGAATATTTAAGCATTCTTCACCTACATTCACCAGTTGTTAGCATTTTGATATATTTGTTTTATCTCTATGTAAATTCATATATATACATGTATATCCTTTTTTTTTTTCTTTCTGCTAAACCATTGGAAGTTAAGTTTCAAACATCATGACATTTTACTCCTAAATACTTCTGCATAAATTTCTGGAGAATGATGACATTCTCTTGCATAATTACAATAACATTATCACACTCCTGAAATTTAACAAAGATGTAATGTCTAATAATACACAGCCTTTAAATTTAAATTTACCTAATTGTTTCAAAAATATCCTTAAAGGTATTCTTTTTAATCTGGGATATGATTTTAAAAAAATAGGTATTGCATTTGATTGTCAAGTGCTTATGGTGTCCTTTAAGATTCTGAAACGATCTTTTTTTTTTTTGTCATTTATGCCACTGACATTTGTGAAGAGTTCAGACCAGTTTTTTAGTAGAATGCCCCACAACCTGGGTTTGTCTTA